GCTCAGAGATAGAACAGGGACCAATGGGGAACCCATTTAAGTGCCTTATTGAAAGGAAAAGCGTTGGGAGTGTTTTCCCGGTTACCTGTGTCACAAGCTTTGAACTTTGACACTACTTGAAGAAGACCTTATTGCTACGGTTTGAGAAGACTGAGACTGGATTCCGGAAGAGTTTCCGAAGTACTAGACCGGAAGGAGGTGAGACCTTTGCTTTGATATTACCGAACACGCGGGGAAATTCATAGTCGAGGACAGTCTCATTTGTTTCAAATACAGGAAGACCGCAGCACAAAGTTAGGAGAACAATACACGTGTAAGACATGCTATTCGAAAACTATATGAACTTTTACCATTCCAAGGTACAAGAAGAACAAAATCATGACGTGTGTTTTTTAAGAAAACATGAAACGGCATGACGTAGGCAGTAGTAATGAGAATTAAATCCTTTCAAACTTGTTGGTAATGATAATACGATCTTGTGTTTCATACAGCATAATGCGAAATAAGCATTTTGTTGAGTCTGTATCGTAAAACGCATGTATTAATAGCCATGGCCTTAAAGGGCCGGTTTCACAAATCTATAAAGTATAAAGATTTAGGTCACTTGGTTTGTTTTTTATGGCTCCTCAAAGTTGTACCTTTCAGAAGCTGTCTAAGTGTTGATAAAATGTGCATGTTATGTAAAATATTAATGAAAATCTAATCAAATGATGGTCATCGTAAAGAATACATTCATGGCATGATTGTGACAAAAAATCATGTTTCCATCGCGCCATTTGGCTGTTTTATGGAAGAAACAATCTCAAAAATGCCATTTTCGATGATAACATTTTAGACACAAAAACTGTGTTTTTTAGAGAATACACCCTTTTATGGGCGTTGGATGCAAACCAATTTTTATCCTATTAAACAGTACGTAATATGCTATTGATGAGAGGAAAAATCATCAAAATGTAAGTGGTGGAACATTTTCAAATGTTGGGTTGAATTAGCCTATGGTTGAATTGCCGATTTTCGACTTTCTTTAGATAATTAACAAAAAAACGAGAGTATTTGCTCGGTATGTTGAGAATATGTACACAGATATGAAAAAAAGTGAGAGAAACACTTTTTCATAAAAAAAAT